CTCAACGCTGGCCTCGCGCTCTCCACCAAGGACACGGCGGCGCAAAGGACGAAACAGGGCTTCGAGCTCACCATCGGCACGAACCACCTCGGCCACATGGCGCTCTACGAGCTCCTCGAGAAGAAGCTCGCGGCCGCGAAGGGCGGCGTCTCGCGGCGATGACGATTTTCGAGAGATTTTGACCGGGAAATCGAAGAGCAATCGTTACCGACATGCTTGGTAGGCGAAGGGCCAGCCGCGGCTCGTCGTCACGGCGTCGCCGGTCCACGACCCCAAGTCCGGCGGCGGCGACGTCGGCTCCAAGGCGACGCTCGGCGACCTCGCGGGGTTGGCTCAAGTCGACTTCGACATGGTCGACGGCGGCGCCTACGACCCGGACAAGGCCTACAAGGACTCGAAGCTCTGCAACATCCTCTTCACCGCCGAGGCGTCGCGGCGCCTCGCGAAGCTCAACCCGAAAGCCACGGCCAACGCCTTCAGCCCCGGGCTCATCCCCGCGCCCGACGGCTTCTTCAAGTACCAGAACAAGTTCTTCGCCAAGACCTTCAACACCATCGCGACGGCCGCGGGCGTCGCCGAGACGGCCGCGTTCGGCGGCTCGTGCCTCGCCTTCATGGCCGCGTCGCCGAGCCTCGACGCCGTCACCGACGGCTGGTACGACACGGACCCGCCGGGCAAGCACCAGCTCCGCGCCCACGACCCGTCCGACGAGGCGCGCGACGTCGCGAAGCAGAAGAAGCTCTGGGACCTGAGCGCGGCCCTCATCGCCAAGGCCTCGGCCTAGGGGGCGGCGTAAACGGGCACCCCGACGCGTCGGTACGTCGGCTCCGATAGTTACGCTGCACCCGGCGGGGTCGCGCTTTGGGTCGACGTCGGCGCGTCGCGGCGCCGCGTCAGACGCGCGCGTCGTCCCCGTCCTCGTCGATGGAGCGGCAGCGGGGCATGGCGACGAGCTCCTGGTCCTTGGGCGCCGCGTTTCTCCGGATCGTCGACAGCGTGAGGAAGCCCGAGCTCTTCCGGAGCGACGACAGGCGCGTGCCGCGGAGCTCGTGCGTCTCCGGCGTCACGCAGCGCGGGAACCGGTCGTCGCGGTAGTTCTCCGACGTCCGGTACGCGAGGAGCGCCCGCCGCCGCAGGACGTAGTCGGAGAGGTCGCCGCCGCAGTACCACTGGGCCCGATGGATCGGGTATAAGACGAGGAAGAGGGGCGCGAACTTGAGGAACCAGACGAAGAAGTTGACGAGCTCGGCGACGAGGATGCGCTTCACGACGGCCGTCTGCGGGTTCCGGTAGCCCCGGAGCCAGTTCTCCGTCGTGACGACGTAGATGACGGCCGCGATCATCGCGCCGTGAAAGACCGCGAGGAGGACGAGGACGCGGTCGCCGCGCTCCTTCCAGCGCCGCAGCTTCGCCGCGCGCGCCGCGAGCTCGCCCGTGGCTAATATATCCGTATCATCGCAGGCCGCGCGCATCACTGGTTCGTAAAGACACGGGCAGATGACGATCTGGCGGATGAGCACGGCGTAGATCACCGTGACCGTGTGCTTGAGCAGCGCGTAGAGGACGACGTGGCCCGGGCCGAGGCGCCGCGAGATCGCGTCCTCGACGGCGTTCTCGTGGTACGTCGTGAAAGCCGTCCAGAGGAAGTTGAAGGCGACGGAGCACAGGAAGACGACGAGCCGCTCCTTGGCGCTGAAGGGGCACAACGGGTGGACGCACGCGATGGAGATGCTCGGGTGGAAGTTGCGCACGAAACCGGCGTAGTTCTCCCAGATCGTGCCGCCCGGGCAGCCCGGGAACCCAAACGTCACCGGCAGCGGCATGCCGCGCATCAGGAGGATGACCGTGTCGCGGTCGCCCGGCTCGAACAAGAAGAACTGGTCCAGGATCCGGTCGCGGAAGGGGAGGCCCACGTCGACCGTGCTCCGGTCGCGCGCCGCCTCGAGCCGCTGCTCGCGCTCGTCGGCGTCGGCGCCGGGCTCCGGGTCGCCCGCGCCGCGCGCATCCTCGTCGTGCTCCGGGTCGCCCGCGCCGCGCGTATCCTCGTCGTCGTCGGGCAGCATCATCGGCGGTGCACGATTCGGAGAAGCTTCATAATTTATTTATTGGAGTGCTCCCAGAAGATGCTGTTATTGACTTTGTTATTGAAAGTGGTGTTGAAGCAGCATCAAAATCACCGCCCCCGGCACGCCGACCGCGCGCGCGGGGGGGGGGGGGGGGGGGGGTCCA